TCAAACTCCTAGGGCAAACATCCACGTTGAATGACTACAGCTACTGCCCGATCTTGGTATTTGATGCCAGCCTAAAAAGATGGTTGCATTCGTGACACCCATGGACTGGATCTTTTTCAAGACAAATTTTATAAGGTAAGAAAATCACAAAATGAATGAGGATAATTTAATATATTATTCGATATTCCGGTTTTATCATAACTGCTTTAGTAAAGATCACAGTTGAGTTATAAGTAGTCATTGAATCAACCCTATATATGGCTTGTGGTTACTGACTGTGACCTTAAAGACAAGTCGACAGTTCTTGTTCGGGTTAAGTAGCAGTAATTTAATCAATTTCTCTAAACAATAGTGTACAAAGAATTAAATCGAATTCCGCCTCATTTCCTTGTGTTTTATGGATTAGTGACCTAGAATAAGGAATCAGCGAGTTCTCGGACTAGAAGCTCTTCATTATTTAACAAACTCACGTTATTTCGATGTTATTTCGAATAACTCTCGTTATTTCGATGTTATAATATTAACCGCCAAGTTCTCGGCCGCCTCAAACTCTCTTGATGAAAAAATACAAAGTTTAATCAAACTCGCGTTATTTTCATATGCTATCATTATTGACCGGTAGGATAAGGACTCGGCGAGTTTCCGGTCTAGTTAAACTCTTCATGATTTCACGAAGTCACGATATTTCGTTTTATTATTACACCTAGAACAAGGAATCGCCAGCTCTCGCTTCATTTAAAGCAGTCATTCACGCAGTCTCTATTCGTGATTTACAAAGCGTTATTTCGGTATGTTATCATATTGAACCAGAATAAGAGAACATCGAGGTTGTTGAGTATTAGCGATATACCAGTCATGAAACACCTAACTTTATTTGAGGGTTGTTACACGATTATTGCAGTAGAAAAGGATACTGAGCTGTATCTTCTGAGTTAACAAAGCGCTTTTGTGTAAAACATATCACATGCACATGATTGACACTTTTAATGCACTTACTATTAGCGCAAACAGTTGACATGCACTCACCGTGTGTGTTTTGTATGGTTTTGCATGAACCGTTAGTGCTACGAAATGATTACGTCAAATATATTCACTGACGATAAGTGCAAAGTTAGAAAAACACTTATCAAAAGTGTAAAAGCTGATAGTGCACTTATCGTTAAAGTTTTCAAGCCAAATGTCGGAACGAAATACGCAGGTCGGATTGAAATCAGCAATTGTTATTAATTGGATTTCAATAGACCTGTTGTTGGTGTGATACCTTCCAAGTATACCACTGTAGCGTTCGAAACTAAAACACCAGAATCCATGGAAAGGGTCCAAAGTCTAGTAAGCACTGTTTTAGATGTCCATGAAGATGCATATTTGGTGTTACAGAAGCAGGGCCTCTTCAACATTTTTCAAAAATCGCATTAAGTACTCATCGCCTTTCTCAATATTTTCAATAGATAACACTTTTTTTCCAAGCTGCTTGCAGGCATTTACAAGTAATGCCCAACACTCCAGGTGTTCTCTTTTCATTACCTCTGTAAGAGCATACACTGAATATATCATTGTCCAGTTTTGCCACTGA